ACTATAATGATGTGGGAAAATACCCGAACAAAGCTGAATACCATTCATATATATAAAAAAGTGAATAGAGAGAATATATATATTCTCATTTGTGACATAAATATTTGGCCAGTGAAACTGTTAGCTAAAAGGAACTAATAGGCATTTAAAGAATCCATGCAAAAAAGCAAAGTATTTCTGCATTAAGAGCCTCCTAGTTCCTAGTTTCAAATGTTAGAAAAGCTCACATAATTTGCAATACTATTTCTATGATGAAATGTCTGGGGGTCTATTTTATATGGATGTGTATTTCTTTCATGTAATGTTATCTCCCTTCCTGCACCTTCACATTTCATTTATTCTTTCTCAACTTAGCTTGCACAGATGCTGCTAGCCAGTCAGATATTAGAAAATATGCGGTGATTGATGGAAAATCTCAGTTCAAGGTGTTCTTGTCCTAGAATCAAAAGATGATGTGTGGTTAAAAGACACACAGCCTTTGCTATATTGTTTAAATCCACACAGTTATTTAAGAGTTGACCCATTGCTTGTGGCTTTGGGATAGTGCTATAGCAGTGGTGGGCTACAACCATTTTAACAACCGGTTCTGTGAGCGCGAAAAGCAATTTGAACCTAAACAGCTTATCTTCTAGGGCATCCCCAGTAAGTAGAACAGCTGAGGCGTGGAACTGAGGCACGGTGGTAGGAATATCTCCCCTCTAGTCACTGTTGCTTACTGCCCTTCATAGCTTTTTTTTAAAAAAATAAGTTCACTGATGGAATACTAAAACTGGTCCCTGCCCAGTTTTTTACATGTATGTATGTCTAAGCACAACATCAGATACTTGTCATGGCAAAACAGAGAAAAGGGTGGAAATCTAGAAAAGGATTTCTTAATGAAACTTCCTGTCCTGCTGGTTTATGCATGACAGTCAAGCAGTTTAAAGCTGCAGTATGGAAACGTTCCCTATTAGTTATTAAAAAACTAAATTTGGGATTAAATCAAAGCCATTCTTGATGTGTTTCTGTGATATATCCGTCACCATCAATATGTTGCCTATTTTGTGATAATGTGTTAAGATTTAATATCTTGCTCTGATTTCCTTTGGGTGTATTAGAATCCTTCTTGAAGTGTAGAATTAGATTAGGTCATGTAGAATGGAGACTGTTTTATTAGCATTGTCCATAACTGTTTACTCATAAAAGTAAAACCTCTGTTGAGATTTTCCCTCTGTTCTCTTGTTCATGGTAGAATTGATTTAAATCTGCAGGAACATTTCCCAAAGTAGTTATCTCAAGGGTTTTCTTCTTTAATCTTTTCTTCTGGGTTAAAAGATTGGTTAAAAACCAGAAGGACAAAGGGTAAGTAAGGATTCAATTGCATCTTTTTCAAAGAATATAGACGTTTTGTTGAGGGCAATATATTTCAAAGAAATTCAACTTTATTCAACATGAGCCTTGAGCAGGGTTTTAGTTCTTTGCTCCAGGTAGGACTGAGCATTTCTTGTGCTTCTGGTCGATAGTTTTCACATCATTTCTTCTTCCAACTCTACTCAAGAAAAGAAAGTAAGAGAAACAATGCCTGTTATTCAACTGAGCATGCTCAGCATATATTTCATTTATAATTTGGAAGGACTTTAGTTGCTGTCAGAGAGCTTCTGTATGAATGAAGAAATTTGAATCAATAACTGAATGATGTCAATTTTTGATACCACAGTACTACTGAAAATATGCACAAATTACTGTAGTCTATATTAACTGTCATGTTACATCACATGAATTACAGCCATGATGACACACTTAGAGGAGTTAATTTGGCACCTTGCTGTGGAAATAGAATATTGCAGATCATTATTGGTAAATTCAATAAAGCATTGTTCTAAATAGCTCAAATTGGATTATATCAGTTTTTCTAGATTATATTTGCTTACAGTACTACAAATACAATAATTCTTCTGAATGTGGTTTCTGGAATTTATTGCCTGGAATATAATTTCATAGTATCTATCCATTTTTTCTTACCTTCTGTCTGGTTTAATTGCTAAACCAGATACCAGTTTTCTTGAACATTGTGCCTTCAAAGTGTACTATATCATGACCTGATGTACTAAGTCACCTGCTGATTTAGTCTCCCAGAAATTCCTCCCTGCTATTTCAGTGTATATTCTATTTGTAGAGGGCTACTTTTGTTGTGTTCAAAATTGTTTGTTTAGAACACTCATCTTCCATTTTTCAAATTATTCTCAAGACCACTTAGAACTGGACATAAAAATCCCCGCTATTGGATTTTCACAATGTCCCTAATAAAAAAATAAACCTAAAGCTTTTCTTCACTTAATCTGTTATGGTTCGCAATCCATAAGACTGGGAATCAGAGATCATGATTGGAAGAAAAGTGAAAGGACAAGAATCCTGAAATAAAAGTGCACTGGTAGAAAAAAAAACTTATTTCCTAACACTTTCTGAGGACTTAGAACTTATTTTATTTTTCTACCTGCAGGCAGTTAAATAAGAACACTGCATACCTCTAGAGGCAGACATGGTATGTTTTCCCACTTGGTAGGATTCAATAATACAAATAAAATCTTCTGACAGAGGCAGAAACAAATAACCTAGAAGTCCTTGGTTCTCTCTACTGTAATAGCACTGAGACAAATATGTGTTGTAAGGAGTAATAAGATGCTTATAATTATGTGTGTATATTTTATGTGTAAAAGATCAGCTAGTTAGAGAAAAGTCTTGCTTTGTGAAGATTTGCATGGATAAAACCCGACCAACCTTTGACTTTCTCCACTTCTTAACTTCTTCAAGGCCATTCTGTAAGCTAGTTAAGGATGTATGTTGTGTGTTATATGTGTGTATGTATGTATGTTTGCGTGTGTGTCTATAAACACACACACATGCATACATATATACATTTATACACATACTGTATACACACAGAAAGTATATATGAAAAATATGTGTGTGTCTGTGTGAGTGTGTGTGTGTATACATATCCAAAAGATCTTACAGTAGTTGAGTTGCTTTATAGCTTCTGTCATGCCTCTGTCAGAATCTGATTCTGAGGGGGAGACCGAGCAGCTGACAGGGATTGGCTTCGTTGGCTGTGGAAGAAACTGGGGAAGGGCAAAGTCTGGCTGGGCAGAGCAGGGGAGAGATAGACCAAGGCAGAGGGAATTCGGAGGAAGACCCAGGCCTACCTGCTCTTCATCCTAGAGCATGGAGGGAGGAATAAAGAAGGGAGCAATGTGAGTTACATGGCTTACAGGGAAGGAAAGGGCTCTGATTCCCTTCATTAGCTGCAGCTGGGAACACTGTGTTTAAAAAGAGGAGTTGCGCACAGCCAACTGTTGAGAGCAAATTGTGAATTATCTGGTATTGTCAAGGCTTATCTGGGTTCCTGGTGTCTTCCCAACTGTGTGAGTTTTGCTGGCCTTTCAATTCTGTAATTCCTTCTCCTGCCCTGTCAAGTTAATTACTGCAGCATGGTTTGTGTGGATTTTTATTTACAGGTTGTATGTACTTTGTTTTTGGACTGAATTTTCTCCACTTAAAGACTGTTCTTGGGAGAGTTTTTTCTCCAGCCAAAAGTAACCTAGACATTTTCTCCAGCCGAAGGTAACCTGGGAGCAAAATTAGAAGTACTAAAGGGACTCTTCTTAATTATGTGACTGTGTTGTCTTTGTGCCACACCCCGGGTCATCACAGCTTCAAGGAGAGTATCCAGCCACATCAAATGATTTGCCCAGGCAGAAGACATTGATCTGTATAATTATGGAGGAATCCACATTTTCCTAGCAGTTTGGTTATTAACAGAGATTGTACGTGACACAGATATGTCTTTGAGCTGGTCAATGGGATCAACGTTCAACTAGAAGATATCGCTGTTTAAGATACATCTTTGAGGAACTCAGTGGGTCTTCAGCTTCAGCTTGAAGGTATCTCTTAATGAATTATATCCATTGGTAACCGTATAAAAAGAAGCAAACAATTCCAGTTTATTTCCTAATTAGCAGTAGCTTGGATCTTGGTTGCCATAAAGAAACTTTTCTTGCAAGTACAAAATGGAGTCCTGAAAAGTTCTTGCTTTTGCTGAAATCTCCAGGAATCTTGAGATTTTATTCGTTCTAACCATGAGGAAAGCATCTTCTAACCCCATTTTCTTTCACTTCCCCTCAAGAAGATTATCTCAGAGAGGGCACTTATTAGATTAAAAGGAAGCAAAGCAAACTTCTCAAATCAGAAGTAGAATATTCTATTATTATCAAATGTTGAGTAACTCTAACACTTAAAACAGAGTTAAAGATGCCATTCAGAAATACATCCAAATGACTCTCAAGTGTTTGTTCAGCATGAGAAATGTGTATGCCTGAATGTAAATGTACAAGTATTTGCAGTTGGACATCTTGCCAGTAAAAATAGGGAGTACTTAGGCAGGTTCATTAAGAAGAAAAACAAAATAATTCTATACACACATGCATATGTGCATGCAAACACACACACACACACACAGAGTAATATAATCAGTAGGGTAAAA